GTTTAGCAAATCGTCACAACTCTACTGAATTAGGCGGCGGTTCTACTTATGTTTAGTTAGTAACACCCCAGCATAGTCTTAACTTTTTTCCTTTTGTGATTTTCCCCTCTTTTGTCTACGATGAGGTATAGGCAGGCCCGTTTTCTACTTCCCTTCTCCACCTTAAATTTGCATAATTTATTTCATATGGATCAGCTTTTTTCCCTTAAAAACGTACAAAGCAATTTAGCCAGTTGAGGATCATTAATGGCCCGTTATTTTTGCTTTTCTTTATTAACCAAATATCACACGAGAGCAAGTCTGTCCATTTAAAGTACAGGAGGGACAAAGAAAAGATGAAAGATGTGATTCTTGGCTATCCTGACCCATTTCATCTGTGCGCTTCACAAGTCGTCATATCCCATTGTCTCGCCCCCAACCTACCCTCCTCGATCTGCTTAGCAAATCTGCTTAAATAGGCAGCCGTGCTACTGACATTTACTTTGTAGTATCTAAACAGAGGCTTGATTTCTCTTTTGTGGGAATTTTATTTTCTTTCATTTCCAAGGAATAAAAGGAAGGGTTTGTGCTTTTATCCTCCGCCTTGAATTTACATTATTTATTTCATCCGGAGCAACTTTTCTCCTCCCGAGAGCACAAAACAGATTAGTCATTCGATGTTTATTAACAGCTTTTTTATTTATTTCTTGTTTTGATGATATATCACACAAAAACAAATCTGGTCATTTATAATAAAGAAGGGAAATAGAAAGAAACTTAAGCGGCGTGTCTTTTGACGAACCGCACGTTATCAGTATGACAAGGGATTCGGTATTTCGGTTATAATTTTCTTGTCATCTGAAAAAGTAAAACAAGCAATAAAAAAATTTTTCCGCTTTTTTTAAATTCCTAAGTAGATCTACCTTCAAATCGCTGTGCCTTCTCCCGTTTGCTACAAAATCGTTCCTTGAGTTGATTCAAGAAATCCGGCCTCACCTCAAGGTTGTGAATGCTAAAAACGAAGTGGAGGAGTGTTAATGACTGCCGTATTTGTCTTGACGATAAACAGTAAGGTGCCTACTCGTTTGCATTCTCGTCAAACTCCACATCGTCCAGGTCGCGTGAAACGCTGTCCAAGAAGGTACGTAGACTGTCGTTCTCACACCCGTCCATGGTACGTAAGGCGAAGGTGGCGCGTTTCAGGTCCTCCGGATAAGTCGCCTCGTCCATCAAAACGACACGATAGCTGACATCGAGATTGTAATCCAGGATCTCTGAGGTCTCGAAGTCCTCGTAGTCGTCGCCGAAGGGACTCATTACACATAGGGCCACCTTTTTTGTCCAAACAATAAATGTGTTAAGGCGGATGCGGTTTACTATTAAAAGGTAAATGGGAAGGTTGACTTAAAATTCCCTACTTGTATTCGATGTCTGCTTTAACACTGTTTTACCTGTTAATAAAATTGGGAAGCGGTAGCCTAGATGTGCGGCTTTTTGGTTTTTTTAGGGAGTAAGGAAAAGAGTACTTGACATTCACTTGTTCACTTGATCCCATTTTCACAATGTGTAGTGAGTAGGCAGCTGTAAATGCCCAGGTTTAAAAACGAACCTACAAAATTGCATTTCTTATTGAAAGACTGTCGCTTTCTATGGCATGATTAAGTGAGAGAGGTTTTTTTGCAGAAATGTCCCTAATTTTGTGCAAAATTATTCTCCACCTTTTTGATCAATGCGAGAAAAGTATCGTTTCAACAGCTACTGACCGACAACCTCGATCAGCCAATCAGAGCTCAGGATTATGTCAGAATCTCACCCCTGGTCACAGTGGCGAGGAAGGTAAAGTGGAGGGAGTTTAGCGCGTTTGTAATATCTAGTATTTGAAGCTAGAAAAACTGTTCCACAATTATCCAAAAATATTTCAAAAAACGAACCAAGACTTTTCCTTCAGAACCATTCTCTATTTACCCAAGTAGGAGGTTCTCACCACCGACAAAAAACTTCCTCCCTTCTTCAAAC